CCCCAAAACCCCAAAACCCCAAAACCCCTTAGAGTAGTATTACCAGATTATAGGTTAAATTTTATTAGAAAATCCTTAAATAATATATTAAAATATTCAAGTGGATATATGGTTTAAGATCATTAGAAACTAGGATAGAAAAACTAATACCAAGCATCTGGCTTTATTTAGAATGAAAATCTCAACAAGAGTGTCGATTCTGATGATAAAGACAACAGCAGCTTCTAAATAGGCTAAAATGGTATTGGTTAAGGAGACGAATCCTAATTTATTGGAGCAGGAGCGAATAACCCTAGTCAGATTGAAAATTTACTCCAAAAGCATTAAGATGCCACACTTAATAGAAATCACTGGGTAATCCTAATAGTTTAATGTAATGACTTTGCAGGTACCAGATTAAAAAGCTAGGCAATGTTTTAAATGCTCTAAGGACTTTACCTTTTTCTATAGAAAACATCACTGCAGAATATGCGGAAATGTATTTTGCCATAATTGTACCACAGTCAAGGCTATAATCAGTAATGGTATGTATAATCATCAATGCTTATTATAAATAGGGATTGAGCAGAAAAATGTTAGAATGTGTAGTGAGTGTGAAAAAATGATAGAAGACTATAACAAAAAACTTAAATAGAAAAATAATCTTATCTTTGCTGAACAGAGAAACTCAAATTACCTCTCTTAAGATTACTAATCATAGTCTAGGTACTCGTTCTTTAACAACCAGGAATCAAACAAGGTATATTATCATACAATCTAATTGCATAAACAGATATTTAATGCTGATGAGCCAATAGTAGCTACAATATAGGACCAAAAAGATTTGGATAGACTCAGAATGATTTAAAATGAAATGGATAATATGGAGTATGACAATAAAAAGGATGGGCTTAATAAGCTCTTGAGTGCTTTAGAAGAGGAAAAATATGATTACAACAGCTCTATACAGTTCTAAAATTAGGACACATCTAATATCGACAAGATAAATTATGTAATAATTGATTCAACTAACAATCCTTACATTAGACTAGGCTTAGAGATTTTTCAAACTCTCATATCAGGAATATTGTTACAGATTGCATGAAAAATAACAACATCGATAATGAAAAATGGGGCTAAAAGTTGTTAGAATTCGTCAGTAAGGCTGTTGACAATGTGAAACCTTCTTCTCGATTGCTTGGAGATTCAATGGACTTTAACTACTTCATCAAGATAAAGATAGTTAATTTCGCAGATAACTCTAAATCATCTTACATCAATGGAATAGTGATGAGTAAAAACTTGGCTGACAAAAGAATGTTCAAGAATATTAATAATCCTTAAATACTTTTGTTAAAGGACAGTCTTGGTTAAATAAAAAATGATGCCTCTCATTTAATGGCAGATATATCAACAGTTATTGATTAAGAAGAGTATCAAGTCAATATTGTTAAGTAGAAGCTTACTTAAGTTCAGCCTAATATAATCATTGTTGAGAAAGACGTTTCATATAAGGTATTAGATGCTTTAAGAGATGCTAAAATTACTGTAATAACCAACCTAAATGCTAGAAAAATGAGAAGAGTAGCAAGACTTACATAAACTATCATATCGCCATCTTATAATGTAGTAGATAAATCCTTCGTATTGGGAAAGTGTAAATGCTTTAGAGTTGATGAACCCTACACAGCTAATCTAATGAAAAATTACAAGTATATGAATATTGATAAGGACTAGCCGAAAGAATAGAATTCTGTTTCAAATGATAGAAGTCTTATCTATTTTGAGGGCTGCAATCCTGCCTTGGGTTGCACTATACTATTAAGCGGAAACACTTAAACTGAAATCTAGGAATTAAGAAGAGTAAAAGCAGCGTTATAGGAAATGCTGAAGCTGGCTAGAAATGTTGTTCTTGAAAGGGCTTTTCTGATGCAAATAAACTGCTAAATCCCAAGATCATTTGTTGAAGATGGATCAGGAATTAACACTTTGGAAACTCCATTCTTGATAACTAGAAATATTTTAAATAGGCAAACCTTAGTCTTAAGCAAAGTAGTGATGAAGAAGGGTATCAGCACTGACAAGCTACTATTGATTAATCCCTCCCTTCAAATGAATCTGGTGAATTAAAGTCATTAGTTTACTCAATAATAAATCTAGAATATGTTAGCTACTGGAAGTATGAACTGCGAAGATATTCCGACCAATTAAAATCAATTAGATGACAAAATGAACTAACTTATGAGTCCTTAGGGTTAGGTATTCCAAGTTTAGGGTTTAAATCCTGGATTCCAGTAACTTAATCAAAAAGTAAATGAAAACTTTGTTAAGAATAACATTGATCAAATGTGCGGTTGTCCTAAGAAAGAGAAGATGACATTCTATTTGAAAGGTCAGGATGAATCTTCCAGCGATGAGACTCTAGGCTACTTCTTAAGAAAGCTTATCAAAAATTCTTCCAAAGCATGTGAATACTGCAAAGAGCCTATGCTTAAGCATTTCATTTAATATTACCATAGAGATGGATGCATTGAAATCTAGTTGATGCTTGAGAAACAGGATAATAAAAAATAAACTTAAACTATCAAGCCCAAAGAACCTCCTTCTTAAAAGAAAAAGGAGATCACAATGAGCGGATTCTGTACAATATGCAACAAGCAGGTAACTCCAGACATTCCAATGTCAAGTTAATTCTACGAATACTCAACTGCTAGATTCCTGGAGCAGTTTTTCTATAATGGCGATAAACTTTACAATCACGGAAAAGATGGAGTCAGTTGTAGTCACAGATCACTGAGAGATATTCAAAGAGTATTCTAAAATCCAGGAGGATTTTAAATTACTTTCAAATTTATTCCTTTAGATGTCTATACAATTGAGATGATCCAACCAAAGACTTAGGACACAACTGAAACTTTCAAACAAGAAATTGATAGAAGAAGATAATCTATCGATGCTGGACTTTACTGTGCATATGAGGATCTAAATAGCAGAATTTATTCAATAATTGATTACATAAAAGAACAAAAGCAGTAGATCCTTAAGAAAGAGCAAAAGAAATACTTCAATCAAATCAATACTAATATTCCTATCTTTACTCAGCCTCTTAAGTATATAAGATTAAGACTTAAGGAATTAGATTAAGAGATATCCAAGACAGTTTAATAGTTCAATATTCCTTTAAGAGAGGTTGATACATTTTTTGGAATCCTTTTCATTGAGAGAAAGGTCTTAGTCAATTTCCTAACATACTCAAGGCTAATCGATGAAATTTCTAAGGTTGCATGCTTGCTTCTTGTAATGCTCTAATTAAGAGTCAACATTCTGAGCAAGCAATCATAGCTGCCGTCCACAGTAGAAAATCAATTTGAGAATTCAGCTTTCCTTGCAGCTAATCTCGAACAAATTGAACAAAATTAGAGTAAGGTAGGATAGGATCATTAGACCACAGATAGACAAACATACACTCAAATTTAAAGTTAAAATGCAGAGAGATAAACTTTTGCAACTTAGCAAAAGAAATAATTTGGAGGAACTCTTGTCCCAAAGTAGGTTGCTGACTACGATTTGTTAATTACCGAATTATTTCAAAACAATGCTGAATTGAACCAGACACTTCAATAGAATTAAACACAAATAGGCTAAGGACAGTCGAAGTAAATAGCAGGGACTCAAAATTTCTAATAGTCTACAAACATAGAGGCAATTAAGAGATTATTGATGGATAAAGTTCATACTAAATTTGAGGATCTATTTGAAAAATGTTCAACTGAAAGAAGACTAGCCAAAGCTAAAGAAAACAACAAAGGCAGGGAGGGTTCTATGCATTAGAATGTTAAAAATAGCAACATGAATTTACTTTAGCAAAATATTGATTCTGGCAATTGGATTGAAATACTAAAGAATGGTTATACTTCAATGCCATTAGGCACTGATAATTTGTATGTTCCCCTAAAAGAAAACGATATTGGATCACTGATTTCTTTCGTCCTTGCTTCAAACATCTATAAAGAGGCTATGATAAAGCAAAATTATATGGACATTAGTTAAAAGATCAAAGTACTCGGAAAACATCCAAGATAGCCAAGCTAATATCCTACGATGGGAGGCAACACAGATGTAAATCCAACCCCAGCAGGAATCAGAGAATCTACCATCAATATGCAAGGATTTGCTCAGCAAGCCTAATACTAAACTTAAAACACTTATATGGCTGTTTAGCACGATGAGACCATTAAGCTACTAGGAAAGAATGACGTCTTTAACGCAGAACTTAGCGCTCACTAGATTGAGACTGAGCTTCTCTGTGGGGAAAGGCTTTACTTTTTAGTTAAATTTTCGACAGAGCGAGATGATCTATCAATAAGGATGGTCAAGAATAGCAATGTTGCCAAACTTAAGCATACATCATTGACATTCACTACTGGACATCAAATATCGAGCAAGAGAAAAAATAAAAAGGTTTAGTATAATGACTTCTAAGAAAACATTTGTCCCCAAGTATCTTAAGACTACCTAGATAACAATTTTTACAGAGATTCAGTAGTAGAACTTGATAAAGTAATTGGTCTTCTTAACGCTTATTACTTCTAGCAAGGATCTCAATTTTCTTAACTTCAGCAAAATCATAATATGGCTGCTCTGAATATCATATCTCCACCGAGGCCGATAGTTCAGTAGATCCCATCATAAATTAGCAATGAAGATAGCTCTAATTTCGATCATCTGGAATAGTAGAATTTGGAAAATCACCCTAATATTAATCCAATAATGAGGGAAAGTATCAGTGCTAATTTTCTTAACAGCATAAAGTCTCCTCCCATTGGTGTTGTTGGAGGTAACGCTTGCAATATAACTTTAAACTAAACCACGCCTTAAATGATGAGCTCACTAAATTTACCCATTCCACTTAGCTCTAATGAAGTTCAAGACTTTTGTGGTATTAAATCGCCTCTCCATACTCTAAACTAAAAATCAAACGAATTACTTAGACAAGAAATTTCAGCACCAAAAGTAGACTTTGAGTTAAAAATCTATTTCCCTAAAAAATTTGAAGCACTTAGAAGATTTTACTGTGGAAGTTCCTACGATTTCATTCAATCATTGATAAAAACGAAGGAATGGACTTCAGTTTCTGGAGGAAAGACCAAATCCAAATTCTATAGATCATATGACGATAAATACGTCTATAAGGAAATCAAAAAGAGTGAATTCAAAATGTTCCTAGAATTCGCTCCTTAATATTTCGATTATCTATGTAAGTCCTTCTTCCATAACTATCCTTGCGCTCTCTGTAAAATCCTTGGAGCCTATAAGATCAAGATTATTGTTTATAAAAATGGATAGCCTAAGATCACCAAGAAATATCTGTACATCACTGAAAATTTGAACTACGGCATTAAGCCAGAGGATGAAAGCCACATAATAAGATATGACTTAAAAGGCTCTAAAAATAATAGGTTTGTCAAAAATAAGGAAGGTAAAGATACTAAGGCTGTGCTTCATGATAACAATTTTCTCTATGAGTTTAACGGCAGGCCTCTGCCAATCAGATATACAATTAACAGGATTCTACATATTTGCATCAACAATGATACTCTTTGCCTTTCCAAGTCAAACATAGTCGATTATTCATTGCTTACTATCATAGATATGAAGAGAAAGAAGGTGAGATTTGGTATTATTGATTTTGTGTAATAATACACCCTTGATAAGATCTTTGAAAGCAAATTCAAGAACATTATCAATGGTGGAGAATCCCCTACTATTGTTGATCCAGAAAAGTATAAGCAGAGATTCAAGAAAGCTATGAAGAGTTATTTTGTTGGTATGTGCATTCAAGAAGAGAAGCTGAGTTCGCCTCAAATCAAAACTGAATTGCACGAAGCTGAAGAAGATTATAGTGATGATGACGATGAGATAAATGAGACAACTAATAAGAATGAAATTTAGAAAGATGACATGGGTTTATAACAGATTAGCATGTCAGTCCCAAGCAGAGTTGAGCACGACGATGATTAAAATTAGTGAAAACTATTATGAGATTATGACTCATTTATTAAATCCTCAATAATTTTGATCAAAAACATTAATTTAATAATCATATCTATTTCCACAACTAAATAAAATCTAAACTGAATGAAGATGACCTTAAGGGGTTTTGGGGTTTTGGGGTTTTGGGG